GGTTTCGGGTGGGTTTGGGGTTGCTTGGGGCGGGTTTACGGTAGGTTTAGGGTGGGCTAGGGTTTGGGGGTTGGTTTGAAGGGTTGGTGGCGTTCTGGCTTGCTTGCTTGCTTGCTTGCTATCTTGCTTGCTTACCTTCTTGCTTGCTCGCCTGTCCCCCTGCTTGCCGCAACGCCGTGGAAACAAAAAGTCCCGTGAAGGTGGAGAAAGAAGGCCCGTAAAATAGCTCGCCTCATATTACCAGCAAGTTGGATTGATCCGCGTAGCAACAGCAGCAACAACAAACAAATTGAACATACGCACAACAAACCGATACAATCAATGCAAGAACAGCTGCGGCAGCGATGAGGGTTGCAGTGGTGGCAGCGGAATTAGCAGCAGTAGTGTCGGCTGACGGGACAGCACAAAAGGAGCGGTAAAACATAACTAGCAGGAATAAAAAACACCTCTCCAAAAAGCAGAATGCAAATGCATTCCGTGCGCAAAACTCAATTTGCCTTTACCTCTTCAAAGAAGCCCTTCCATTGACGCAGTGAACAACGCAGGCTTTCACATCATCTGCTTGTCACCATGGGATGGCTCGAGCGTTTGAAGGATCCAACCGCTGCTACTTAAGCGAATATTGTTGCTCGTGATGCTCCTGGCGGGTTGCCGAAATGTACTGTAGCTCAGCTTGTTTCCATGCGCACGCTACCTAAATCTTAGACTGGAGTGAGTGTCTACAATAATTGGCCTTAGAGTCTTTGAAACCCCTTCAGAAATACCAGTTCGACACCAGATTCCTCTGATGCCAACTCATTCTCGGCATGTCTTCCATCACATGGACGGCAGCGGCAGTTCACATCCCGTGTCCACAAATCTCAGCCACTTCAAAAGGGAGCGTTTCACAAAGCTATCTATGGCATTAGCTCAATAGTCGTGCAGCCCTTCCTAGACCAAGGCAAGCTCCAACTCAAAAGACGTTCTCCCCCCAACCGAGCGCTCGCCTTCAGAGCTGAGTTGCCAGAGCTCACGGTGGGCACAAAGCTATGCCTGCAAGATACGTGGTGGGCAACGGGGTTACAATGCAAGCCTTTAAGGCTCGACGTGGCTCAACGCGGAAGGGGGAGTTGAACAAAACCATTGTTTCAAGCGTGGTTGTCTCATTCGGCCTACAGTACCCTTCTGTCCTGCAGTTGAATGCTTCGACCAAGAAAAAGTAAACGGGAGAGAAAAAGAAAGAAAGAGCGAGATAGAGAAGGACGAACAAGCGGCAGGAGATAGACACGGGCCCTTTTAGCCACAAACTTGAAACACCATCCATTACTTGTAGACAAGTCAAAGTAGTTGGACTTGCTACGCAGTGCTTATGTTTTGCGCACACCCCAGCTTTGGACTCGGCCACGTTTCAATCTCTCAGCAGAAATCCTTAGAATTGAGTTGGAGGTATGCTCATCGGGCCCCGTGCCACCCTGCCCCCTGTTCAAAAGAAGGTGATTTTGAGCATTGTATGCCAAGTTGGCAAAAGCGCTCAGCTGGCAAAGTTGCACTCAGCTCAGCAGGCAAGCAGGCAGATGGACCTGCAAATTGGGCATCCATCGCTGAGCAAATTCCTAGCGGCAATGTTCATCCTCAAAGCACATCTGCTAGTGTCAGCTGCTCTCAGTCTTCAGGCTCATTGTTGCGTAGTTGTGATGAGCGGCAAACAAGGCAAGCATTGGGTACAGTCTAGCCGCTTGGCCTCTGTGCCTCCCCTGCGCGGGCTGCCCCAACATTTTTCAGGACTCTTGCCTTCTCCCAAACATTGGCGTTCATGCCTCTGACGGCCAATACGTTAGCCCGTTAGGGCACTACCCTGCCACTACCGGTTGCTCTAGCCCTAGACCCCGAGACATCCATCCTAAACAGCTGAAAACGGTTTCTACTTCAGTGAAGTGCCAGTCCGCTCCGCACTGCAACTGAAAGGATACATAGTGCTACATGCTGCGAACAGCAAACAGTTCTATGAGACATCGGAGCCTGTGAGGGTTTTATGTGAGGCGTGCCCACCTGCACCACCACCATCCGTTTCCGTCGTTTTGTAGAGCTTCGTCCATACACATACTATCTCAGTTGTCACCCACATTGCTGGCAACATCGGAATTGCAAAAATCATCCAAGCACCATTGAGAAGTCCTGCCACAATCCACAATCATCGCCAAAAGCTGCTGTCAACAGCTGCTGTCCCGTTGTAACTTTCAGGGGTTCTACAGAACAAGGCACTGCAGGAAACTCTCCATCGCCGAACGCGCCCAAAAGTTTGCGCATCCAGTTCAGGTGCCGCGTGATGGAGGAGTTCCCGCTTGTCATGCCATTGGGCACCCCAATGCATCGCAAGCATGTGTCAGCCAAATCTGGCGGGTCGCCACTGCTGTTTGCAACTGGACATCGACATGGACCAGGGCCAAACCTGTTTTACAAAGTGCGGCCATGATTCGCTATCGTTGCTACACTTGGTGATCATCATTACAACATAAATAAACATTGAACGGCTGATGACAGTACCATCCGTATTGAGTTGATTAACTCTGCTCCTTACCCTGGCAGCAGGTACCGTACAGATTGAATGTCACGTGGCTGCAAGGGTGCCGTCCCTGCCCCTGCCTGCTTTGAAGCAAGAAGCAACTGGCATCCTCCCAGCGCCCAGCAACCTGGCCAAATGCTGCTGAAACGCTTGTGCCATCTTGTGCCTGTTGCCTCATGATCTATATTTACCCGTTTTGAGGAACATGAAGGAGCCCTCCAGTTGACCTTCAGCAGCAAGCTGAGATGTCGAAGCCAATGACTAACTAAGAAAATAGCAATCCGGGGTAACTTCCAAAAGCTTGCTTGTGAAGCGAACACGAATCAGCTCGCTGAAACCTGATAGATTGTTGCTGTGCACCGTGATTGTGCATGTTTATTGGCAAGCATCTAGGTGCGATAATGGCAAAGCCTTGCCCAGCTTACAATAACATTGACATAGCGTCGCATGCCCAATCCTCACACATATTCTGAGCATGCCACTTTTCACAGGGCAAGGAAAAAGCATTGTGCATCCAATCATTTCCACAACGCGTTGTATGAGCTTATTCATACCAACCCAGGGTCACACCCAAATGCTGTCGAATTCTGAGCTGTGCATTCAATGTCAGGAACACTGCATTGTCCCAGACCTTTGCCAGGCAAGTCTCTGAGCCGGGAAGCCAGCAAATCGAGAACCACCGAATCCCAGTTGCCGAGCCTCTGCAGCCTCGGGGGGAAACAAGCCCCCAGCATCGCGCATTGAAACTGGGGCTCTCTATGTCAATCGGGAAGCCCATGCTGACCCAACACCAAACCAGCGCTCAACCAAGAAACCAATGCTAAGCGAAACTCGCTGGGCAATCAGGACTCTGAACAAGTACGACTGATCTCTGTCGGTGTCTGCTTTGCCGATTTGGAGGAGGACCGAAGCAAAAGATAATGAGCAAACTTACCAGGGGACCGAAAAGGGACAAACTAATCATATCATTTCACGCTGATTTACTGCAAAACATGTTCTCGGCGGAGGAGGGGCTTTGATTGCAATGTGGACCGGCGCAGGCGCAATAGATACCAACACTTTCCATTATTCTACTCAGATTACACTTGTAGCAAGTCCCTGCAAAACACATAGGAACATCTCTCCCAGTGTTGCTGCCAACGTCTGGTCCGAACCAACCGAGCGACATGCAATTGTGAAGCAAGCGAGATGTCAGGGCTGTGAACTTGCCTGTGGGTATCAAACAAGCTGGCAGTTGGGCTTCAAGCCTCTTGTCTATCAAGCATTGCTTTGGGGCCCTTCAACCAAGATAGTTTTGCGAACCAAGGGTCTGTTGTATTTGCTTGGATGGCAAGACTCCTCCATGCCATGCCTGTCTTGCCTCACGAAAACATGATAGAGCCCTGCTGCCATGACGCTGTCAAGCAAGCGTTCTGAGTGATGATGTCACGCCTCCAGCCTCCTGAGCAGCCAGAAACACCCCAAACAGCAAACCTTTCGATCACAAGCTTGGCCTTTTGCCTTTGCGCGGTGCAAGCAAAGAAAAATATGTGTTTCATTGTCCGGTGAAGGCAAACAACTTTTCATCCAAAGCAAATCACCGAAAAGCAAGTATTTCGATTGCCTCCCTCGCAGGGCCCCAGAATCCCAAAGTAGGGGGTGATCTATAAATCTTGCCTCCCTCCCAGGGCCCGAGAAAGTAAAGCAATACTATCAGCTTGTTCCATGAAAGCTACATCAGGTCATCCCAGCTTGTCGCGGCCTAAGGTCAGGCTAAAATTATGGACTCCCGTCAAGGCAATCTCGCATCAGCGGGCCCAAGAGCAAGGGATCGTTCAAAGATCATATTTTGGCCTTGAGTGGACAAGCGAAACAATGAGGCACAGGGATGTTGTTCAACCTCCATGTGCTGTGCCAACACTCGCACGGGTTGTAGATCTGGCGAACTGCCACTGAAACCACTTCCGCAAAACACGCAGGGCACGCCAGTATCTACTGTGAATGTAAAGCCACGCGGCAAGGCATTTACAAAACTACTCCGGCTTGTGAAAGGCTGAACCCAAGCAAATTGTAGTTTGCAACCTTTACAAATAGAAGCTGGACTATTGGGTTGCATGCTGTGCGAGCACTCTGGGCCGAATGGAGGGCAACCAACAGTCCTGAATCAGAAGCTGAAACTAGAATGATAAGCGCCATTGGAGCTCCTATCCCCCCTCACTTTGTGAGAAGGGCGAACTCTCATCACATGCTCAAAGCGGCATCTTCCACCCAAACGCATAAGCACGTTGATGGCCCCGTTGCAAAGTGCAGCTCTTGCAAACACTATAGTCTGCTGCTCCAAGATGGCCCAACAATGCGGGAGACAAACAAGGGACAAAGGGAACTGGTGACCAATAGCCAATTCATCTTGGCGACTGGCGCAGAACAATAGAACAGGAATGATCCAACTGCAACAACGATTGTGGATTCTGCAAGCAATTGGTTAGTAGCTCAATGAAGCTTGCGGAAAGCCATGAGAGAGCATTCAAGAAGTCAGCAACAAAGCAAACACACGCACACAAATCTATTGGATCAGTTTGGCTCAAACATGTTTTTGGTTGTTTGTTTGTTTTGGTTGTTGATATCTCATGCTTGCCTGAAGTACATGTCCAGCATAATCTCTGCCAAGGATATGTCAAGCGTAAACTTAAGCACTTCTAGCGCATGACTCGTTTGTTCTATCTCGTTTCAAACTATCGAATGTTCGCCTAGCGACGGTAGACTGCGTCCTGGCGAGCATCTTTTTTGCATATAATACATGATACGGTGTATTTGTATCATGAGTCTAACATGTGTCCAATGTGTTCGTCATTTCTAGCACATGTCCAGACGCCTCCGCGAAAATGTTGGTGATTTGTTTCATGTAAATACAACAACGCGAAACGAAACAACAATAACCAAATTACATCCCATCGACTACATCTTTGAGAGAGCTCGAACAGGATGATGAACATCAAGTGCATATCCAAACAGTGTTTCAGTATTTCTGTTGCCTAGAACACGTGCAACACACACACACACACGAAAACACATCATTCTCAGGTGCTTCCCCTCACTCGACCTTTGCTAGCCAAAGCATCAGATGTGCAAACCCGCCGAAATGGCAGGGATGTTTACCACTGCAAATGGCTGCTTGTATTGTCCAAGCGTCCGAGCAAGGCAAGGCTGGCGAGGCAGGTGCTGGCGCGCCAACGCCCAAGGCTTCCGAGAGAGGTGATGAGGCTGTTAGCCAGGATTGCCTTGTGACGTTGCGGACAGCCAAACGGGGGGGGGGGTTGCAGGGGGGTGCCTCAAGTTTTGGGAAACTTCAATATGATGTCCAGGGTATCGGATCCACAAACATGCGTTGCGGATATCAATGCCCCCAATCAACACAAACCAGCAACAAATTGTTCAAGTGGCTTAATTATGAAGAAATCCTTTTGCATCAAGCCTTGATTGCCCATTCTGTGTGCAACACTTTCTGGAGAGGATTGCTCCCGCTCCCTTCTCTATGCAGCCAGGATACATTCGCAGCAACTCCAGAGCGCAAACCGGTGGCAACGGCTGAAAGGGCAAAGCTCCACTCCTGGGACGCAAGAGCAACCAAAACTGGCAATCCTGCTTTGTGCTCATTGGATCCGACCCGTTAGGAATCGGAGGCACCACCTCTAGTGTCTGGATGCAGTATCCTCACATTGCTGCAGCTGGGCTGTTGGGTTGGCGTGAATCAATGATGACGTGGTCTTTGATCACTGAACCTTTGCTTCCTTAAAAGAAACGCTCATACGTTCTGATCCGGACGTGCTTGGTTGCTGCGAGTCATGCAATGCCAAGCATGAACATGAACGAGACAAACTCAACACTATAAGAATTATACAGTGTCAACACCGTCAACACAGCCAAGCATCATTCCGCAAATCTGCGCGTTCCATGTCTTGAAAAACCCGATTGTGATACACAAATCATTCTGATCATATGCATCCACAGCTAATTTCAGAAACTGGCTCGCTCTTACTCCACACTCCGAGTCCTCGCCCTCCTTGCATGCATTGACGCAGGCTGCCACACTCACTACCTCAGATCATCAGCAGTGCAGGGCCACTCCCTGCACCCTGTGAGTCGCTGGCAGTATTGTCGGGCCCAAGGAGGAAGCGACGAGTTGTTGTATCGGGCAACCAAACTTGACAATAAAATGAGATTCTCCAAAACGTGTTGCAAGCCTGTTTGCAGCAGCTGGCTCTATGAGTGTGATGAGCTCTGTGCATGCACTGGTGGCGAGACATATACGTTGCTTGCTTAAAAGAAGGTCAGGCCTAAGACAAATTGATGATGTGACCCAGGATCTGGTGCAGTTCGTGCCTTGCGCATGGGCTTCCTCGGGCCCTTCAGCTCGTGTTGAGAAGTTGTTCAAGAAGTGGAAAGCAGAAAAAAAACGAGTCGCAAACAATCAACAGGACCTCGGTGGCTTTGCGAGCCAACTACTGCTCATCTAGCACCAGGTCAAACCTCTCTCCCATCCTTGAAATGCAAAGATATTACTAGATGGGACAGGCTTAGAAGGAATGGCATGACTCTCACTAACCTCCCCACACACCTTCTTTTCACATCCCACCCTATCTCTCCCTTCGGTCGTTAGGTGTGGGATGAAGGAAGTGTGTGAGAGCGAAGGAGCTGGAGAGGTGGGTATGAATGCAGGATATTTGCCCACCGACGGCTTCCCACATAGAAACTTTCCATATCTTCCACATCTAATTATTGGGAGTTCTCGGTGCCGGGACAGAATGTAGTAAAAACCCAGACTTGACATCAGGATTAACTCACCAGAAGCTCTCTCTCGGTGAAATCCAGGATGAGAGGAAACAGTTCTTAACTTGTCTTCCATCTCCTGTCCATTAGCCAAGTGTTAGCTGGCACCTGGAAGTCCAGGAAGTGAGAAAAAAGATGATCATTTCTTCCAGGATTTGTTAGCTGTCAATTGTCTAGTCGTTGAACGGCAATTCCCGGCGTTCGTATACTATGTGTAGCAACTGAAAAAGGGTCAGGCAGTACAACTTTCCGTCTCTTGTCAAGTCCAACATTTGGGCACTAGCACGTCTGCGGATCTTGCCTGTTGCCTCCGTTCACCTGCTGTTGAGATGGAACGTATCAAGTCATCGTTTGGATGCAACCTGGAAATAGACTCTTTCAACCACGGCATCCTAGGCCACGAGTTTCAACCGCTGCTCTGAACTATTCACTTTGCACCCTCCTTTCACGGTACCTGTAATCAATGCTACGCAAAGGTGCTGATGGCTCGATGCCGAAGTTCTGCAGCGCACACTGCCAATCTGCCACCTGCCCGCATCAGTTTGCAACAAGGGCTCATGTGAACAGGGCAACAACTCATTCGGGCTCATCAAGTAGCGCTACAATGGTGACATTGTCCGAGCTGTCTGGCCATCGCTGCAAAGCCCCTTGGAGCCAGTCAACGGGCCCCTGCCAAAAGGATCGCTCACACTCATACGATGCCTCCAACACATCCCTGCAAACTGGCCGAAACTGTTTGCTTGCAGAGTAGTTGACTCCATCAGGGTGACTCAAGAGCCCTGCACGCTCTCAAAATACAAATTCATGGAAATTGCAATCAAGGACCTGCAAACACAAACAAGCTGAAAGAAAGCCAGACATGCAACGCCGGGCCGCTGAAGGGACTCAAGATGCGAGTGAATCGCCCAGCAGGCCGGCAACACCGCACAAGGCTTCGTCTAGAGTCTAGGCACTTCGATGCTGCGATGCCAAGCGGACTACATGCTCTTTTTGCAGCATTGAAACTGTCACAAGCTGTCTATCCAGAGATCAGTCCCAAAGATTCTGGAAATACTTGACGTACTTGTATTGAGAAACAAAAACACAAGGTCCAACCAAGGACAAACTGCTTTGACCAACAGCCCTTTGCCTCTGCTCTGTCAGCAGTGCCGGGGTTCTCTGGGCATCAAAAGCCGGGCGAACATCTGAGACCCCCACAAGGCCGTAGGCACTGATGGCCAAATTCTTGGAGACCTCGTCTGGACGCGGATGGACAACTCTAACCCATCCCCTTTTGTGTTTTTGGTGGGCATGCCTTACCTCATGTGTTCCTTCCTACTACGGATCGAGATTGAATCCCGGTTGTCACTTGTGTTTGTTACAACGCGATATTTTCTCGTGGAAAGCTGTATTTTAAAAGCATGTTCCGCAGATTGGCCGTCAGGGGGCTCTGAGGCTGGTAAATAGAAGGGACACGCCGGAATTTGCATCTGTGGGTTTACTGGTGGCTTCAGGCCCAAGCTGGTTTTGCGTTTGTTTTTAGGGGGCGTTTAGAGACGCACTGGGGTGGGTTTAGGGTCGGTTATGGTCGGTTTAGGATTGGTTCAGTGGGGTTGGTTCGAGTTTGTGGGTGGGTGCAACGTCGATGTAGGCCTGACATCAAAAGGATACTAGCTCTTCCAAACGCCACGCCCGTCGCCGAGCAAGTTCTTTCAAACGCACGTTTTTGGAGCGTTGCTTCCGAGCAAATGCCAATACAGGCAAGTCCCGGGTCTGGCCTGTTTGGGTCGCCGGCTTCAGGGTTGCCTGCTTGAGCCTCTAACACTTTGACCATGTTTGGACCGCACATGCGAATCATTTGGGCGATTTAATAATAGCATCAAATAGCATGAACATACGTGTACAGCTCATGCCAGGAGCAAGCACTCAGTTGAGCACTATGGAATTTCCACAGATTAAAGCAGGCTGCCGACTTAGGGCACCTCACAAGCACCTCACAAGGGGTGCTGAGCCGAGGGCCAAGTCAGGCGCCACCGCAGATTGACGTGCCAGAAGCTGCAGCCGCAGCGCGCGGCGCCAGTCTTGCGACCTCCAACCCCGGCGCCCGGACACGTTGGGCATAGGCTCCCAAAGATCCTCATCCCGAAGTGTGCTTCTTATATGAAGATACGCCTTGGCCCCCTTGGCCTCATTCTGTGCCATCCTGGCCTCACACAGGCGCCGCTGCCGCAGTTGAAGCTGACGGTATCCAGGCGCAGAGTCTGGCTGATGACTAGAGCAACCCTTCCTCACGCCACCATTTGCAATTCAACGAATATGTGGGTGTCAGAAAAAGAACCACTCCTTCCTTTATGTCTTGGCCGAAACCCGGCTATTTTCCGCATGAGCGATATCCATACATTGGCGTTCATCTGTCATATCCTCTAGGGTGGGACTAGGATTCTTCATTTTTTTCTTTATTTGTTTTTATCCTTTGTGGGGGGGCGGGGGAAGGGACCTATCGTTTCGCAGCTGTCTGCAGAATCTGAATTGGATAATAGCAAAAGTTGAGCACCATTCCTTACTTTTCCTTGCATTCCACCTGATGCGTGGCGGTCTTTTTTGGGGGCCCTCGCGCACTGCTGCCAAACGTGGGGTGACTTGTGTCAAAACCTTTATGCGTGACAAAAACACATCGAGGCTCATATATTTCATTCTATGAAGTTCAAGGTTGGCACCGCATGCCAATGTGTAAAGTGCCTAGCCCTTGAGTGTACTAGTTGCCATACGGGTGATGTATGGGAAAGGAAACTAAACATGACCATGAAGCGGTGGACAATCCTGCAGTGGAAAAATATTTAGGTATAATATACAGAATTCATAATTCAGCTGCTCAGACTTCAAGGGGTTCTTGTAGCGTCGTGCCAAAGGACGGCTCTGGACTCTTCTCCTCTCTTTCACTGCCCAGCAGCACTCGATTGGACGCAGTCTGACCAACTAGCCATGCTAGCCCTCAAGGCTCAAGCGTGCAGCTCCCCCTTCCAGCCTGTGCCTGGCTTCCAGAGAGAAGCTGCAAGGCCTGTGCAAGGTACTAGCAAACTGAACGTCGCTCAAAGCATTGGCGTTTCTGGGCCTCACCTACTTGACTTGGACAATTACACCGGCCCACACATGTACTTTGCTGACCTGGATATTGAGACTACGAGTACCAAGACTTGCCAAACCCATCTGGACTCTGTTCTGGTGCCCACATTGATCACATGCCTGCTCAAAGATCCAAAAAAGAAACACAAAAACGCTGGGTGCCAAAGCGCTATAGATGCTTGTGGGTTGAAGCGAACATGCTGCCCCAAGAATTATGTGACTTCTTCATAGGATGCCACTCAAGAAACTGTCTGTTCATTCATCGTGGCCTTCGCTTCTGTTACACATTCAAGGATTTCCCCAATTCCCAGCTGCCGAACAGTCCACAGCACAAAATGTCCGCCAGTCTGGGCTTGATGTACGCTCTGGTCAACTGACAATATGCGTGGAGCACTAGCTTCAAATCAAAATGGACTTAACATCTGTGAAACAAACGCGGTTCAACATCGGTCTTGCAAGACCCAGTAGCAATTAAAACAAGCATCAGTTTGCAGTTGGTGCTTCTCTGACAAGAGCACTTGCTGTGTGCAACTCGATATTCTCTCTCTTCCCTTCTCTCTCTTTTCTCTCACTCTCCCTCTCTCAAGGAACACGGTTGCCTTTTTTCTTTTTGTTTTGCTTCTCTCTTTCTCTCTCTCTCTCTCTCTCTCTCTCTCTCTCTCTCTCTCTCTGAAGCATGAACTGGGTTGTGCTCATGACGAACCTCAATAAGTATCTTGGTGACTTGTTCGATTCTTCACATGCTCAGATCCGGCTCGTTTCAATTATTCGTCTCACAGGCGGGCGAAAAGCCCTAGCTAGTTCTTCTTCAATATACGTCTTGCTTGAGGTTCTACGAGCAGCTTTCCTACCTGCAGCTCTTCAAGCAACGCCTCTCACTAACTTTGGGCAAGATGAGAAACGCGCTCGAGCAAGAGTCATGACAATCTGAGTTGCCCAAGGGCCATGAAAACGCTTGCGTCATTCGTGAAGAACCCACTGACATTCGCAGGAATCAAGGGTGTGCCGCGAAACAACTCGGGGCAGGATTCCTCTTTTAGCACTCTCTTGCATTCTGCCGTTCCTGCACCGCGCCTGCTGCAATCGCGAAGCGCGGGCCAACGCGCTGGCGCCGGCGTTGACCAAAGCCACGTCCCGCAGGCCTATCCGATGACCGTGGCTGCCAAAATGCAATGCGCCGCTCGCTCGATTGCCTGACCACCCACTCGCACATCCGGCTGCTGCATCTGACACATGCTGATCTCCGCCAAATGTGTCGCCGGCGCCTTGCGGAACTTCCAGGACCAGGGCAAGCGCGCGCTGCCAGGCCAGCCGGCGGCCCAGGGCTGTGATGCCATCGGTCCTGGACGGATGCGCCAAAACCTGTCACGGCAAATAAGAACAGATGCTGCACACGGTCTGGGGCTGGCTTTGATCAAGTCCGCTTCTGGCTCCAAGACATCTAAAGGTCTTCAGGGGTCGGCACCTACACACTGACACGCGCTCTCAGCGTTTGAGTAAACAGTCGGTCTGCACACAAAGACATGTCGAACCACAAAGAATCAAAACTTGATGCGGGGCTCTAAAAGCGGGGAGTGTTCAGAAAGGCGGTCACAAGAATAGAAGCGCAAGACAAACCACTGTGCGAGGGCCAAGGCACAGCCGAAAAATTAGTTGCATGCTGCAACAAATACCTGTCAATCTCCTGATCCTCTAGTTGAAGATTGCTGTGCAACTTGTGAGTCAGGTGGAAAGTACATTCAAGCAGTATGACCCATGGCCGCCAGAAGCTGCCTCCTCTTCAGTCTCTCCAGATCATCTCCTGAGGGTCACTCTGGCTTGGTCGCTTGGTGCTTTCAGCAACATTGTGGACATGTTACCGTTCTGGAGGGAACAAACCGGGAATACTAAATGGATCAAATAGAAAGTGAAATGCAACACCAACACCAGGACAACTCAAGAACGCTTTACAAGAGTTTGTCCGCGGCAGTGAAACCATGACACAATTTACACTTTTGTCAAGAGCCATTCTAGTACGTCGGTGTTGGGCGAAACAGTTTTGCGCAAGAGCAAGCGTACTGCCTAAAGTGAGCACAGTCCAAAGATTGATGCGCAAAGCCAATCAACTTGGATTGTGGATTTAATGGGTTTGCGACTGGCTGGGCTTCACAAAAAAGTCAGGTTCAAGGACGCCTTGGCCCAAAGTCTATATGATGCTATATGAGTCTTCGGATAGAGGAGATACGGGCTGTCAAGGTAAGTCCACACTGCCCCTAATGATCTGAAGCAGCAATGCTGAATAATGTGCAACTGATCATTGTGGCACCCAGGCACCAAGCTGTGATTGTCGTGCTGTCTGCTGGGAATGCCACAAGTAAGCCAGCCACGACATGTCGAGGACTTTCCACGCTATCAAAGGCAACAAAATATGGACGCTATCAAAGGCGGATTGATAACCCAAAGGCTATGGGTGGTGCAAACATGCGTGACACCCCTTTGCGGATGGCAGCAAAGGTCAGGTTTTCAGGTTTGCGCGCGCTCCCCTGTGAGCCGTGTTTAGCCCTGTCCGGATACCCAGCGGCTCCTGCCGGCTCAACCTGGGGCTTGGGCATGGGAGAACATGCAGCTCAGCTCAATCAAGGAATCGCTCAGGTTGATCGGGAAGACTTTGAGGAAAGCAACTTGATGTTTCATGCTGAGATGATCTGATACAGCACCTTCTAAAATAGCACTTGTGTGCTTAGGACCTAAGCACACAAGTGCTACTTTAGGAGGTGCTGTATCATCCGACATGGTTGGTCCAGGGAGTCTAGGAAAGAAAGCCAATGTGTCAGTGATTCAGTCTGAAGCATGAAATATGTGGATTTGCCTGTAGCAAGCACCTGCCACCATGATCAAAGGAAAGCCGACACATACAGCAGTGTCCGATCTCGAAGAGTGGTCATGAAGGTACGAATTCATACAGGCCCTCGAAATTAAGGAAAGTAAGGGATTTCAACCCCTGCAACAAGTCCCCACATGCATGTCGAGTACTGCTCAGGCAAGTCCCCTCCAAGCCTCTCCCGCACCTACACAAAGCAGTCTTGCTTGGTTTCTCGTGCTTGCTCCGCCAGTCATGCCGTCAAACCCTCTGTGCAGCCAAGCACACACACACACACTCAAGTACAGCAGTAAAACGCAGACGCAAACACAGACACACACGCACACACACACACACATACACGCACAAATCACAGCTGATCGTGGAAGGCATCTCAGGCCCCCCAGCCGGTGCACCCATGAGCTCGCACCCCAGCCGTGAGCCGATGCCGGCGAGTGCTCAAGTTTCAGCCAAGGCAACACTACTCCCTTCAAAATCAGTTTGTTTTGCGTTTCGTCCAAAGCTGATCGCAAATAGCACTTCTCAAACGGCAGAGCAGTGTGTGGGGCATTTTCAATGATTCTTCCAGCGTGTGCGATTAGGCAGACTCCGAAACCTGTCCCACAACCCAGAAGCAGCACAAAATGCCCATCATTCTTTCGTAATTATTCTTCATAACATCTGGTTGCCGCTGACAAAAACCATCAGTGCACAGTTTGCTACTTTCTGGTCCAAATGACGAAAAAAGTGGTCAGACTACATCAACTGAAGATTGCCTGTCAGCTACAGTAAGCTTCGGCAGGTGCTGGTGCAAGTAAGCGGTTAAAAAGGAGCAAACTGATTGGGGAAGCGGAACCGGCCACTGCCCAGGCGTTTGCAAACCACCACTTGGCCTTCTTACTGGCTACAGCATGATGTGTATCTGCTTCAAGTGAGTCAAGTCTGACAGGCCTGAGTGAGCTGTGGACTTGCTCAAGAGCATGCAATCATGAGGACCACATTTACACTATATGACACTATATAATACTCCAGTCCAAGTCGTGTTGCTACATGCAGTCTCGAAGTGTGGCTTGCTCCTTGAACGCTCTCAACGGATGATCTCACTGTATGGTCGCAAACTGCGTCTAAACAATCCTCGGCTCTTACTGGTCTAATTACAAGGAGGCTCGATGGCAATGTTCCACATCCCCCTCCGATCACGTAGTTACAAAGCGGCAAAACATCTCGGGAAGTGAGGGCAAGCGCCAAGGCATTTGGCATTTGGTCCTTTTTGCCGCTCGTCGCTGTTCCTTTGCCAGCGGGGTGCATGGCTCTGACCTTGGCGCTTCCAAGAAACCAAGCCCATGTAAAAATCGATGTACCTGCGTCAATTGCGACTGACACTTTGCTTGTGAAGGGGTTCAAAATAAAAAACTTCTCCCATCTTCTCCGTTTGAGATGTGCCAGTCCGCGGCCAATGTGGCTGGCGTCCGAGCTCCATGCCGTCTGATGGAGCAGCGCCTGGAGCCCAGAGTGGGAAAGCGACGCCAAAGAAGCGCTGGAAACGGCCCAAGAAGCAAGAGAAGCCCAAAACGCATCCTACAACCAATAACCGTGGCCAACACAAAGGAAGACATCCAAAACCGAGGGGAGGAGTTGGGCGGAGGAAACTGCAAAGGAAAGCCTGCCTGCAAGTCTAAATGGAGTCTAGCAAAAATATATAGACATATGATAGCTGCAAAGTGCAGGCTGTCCTCTTTGAATGATTGCCAGCAAAGGCTCAGTGGAGAAGCTGCAACCATGACTTGCAAGCTGTGTGGGTCTGTCTGAAAACAACGTTCCAGGCTGTGGAAGTTGTTGGCAGGGGTATGATTCGTGGTCTGCTTCGGAGGTATGACTCGATGTATGATTCGCACGACGAAACCGAATTCATGTTGAAAAGCGATGATTCGGTCACACGCGGCATGGAAAGCGAACGGGTTTGGTCTGATTCGGGGTATGATTCGGGGTATGATTCGGATGCTGGCAGACTTTAGCGAGCACACTGAACAGAGCCAGGGCCAACGAAGAAGATGTCAAAATCATGGCCTCACACACGCCACGCTTCGCGCGCAGAGCTTCACGCATGAAACCCGATAGAGAGTTCGCAAGCTGACCGACGGCGCAGCGACGCCGCTTCCACAAATGCTGAAAACCGGGGGGGGGGGGGGGAACCCATGCTCTGTCAGACGTGGCAGTCCCAGGAGCTGACATCGTAATGTGACCAGCCGCATAAAACATCACATGACACAAATGCTTGTGAGTGGGAGACAGTCTCTGTGTGGGAGACAGCCTCAGTGAGATGTCAGGCGTGGCAGAAGCGTCCTCTTGACTCGTTTCCCAGTCGCTGGGTGCTACCCGCTTGCCCCTTTCTATTTGGCGAGTTCTCACCAAAGATGATCAATTTTCCGAAAACATGGTTGAGGTGTGCTGAGCAAGTGTCGAGGTGCTATCCGCAGGCACGCGTCAATTGCAAAGCGTTGAAGCTGACAGCATTGACCAGCCTTTGCAGCGCGCAAGTGGGAACACGAGCACGCACTGGTCTGGCAGGAAAGCGCCTTGCCGAACAACCTCGAGGCCAAGGTGCGCAGGTGCGATAGTCAAGCAGCACCCCAAAACAGCCTGCACCCCCAACCTGCCCCAACACCCCCTGAAAACACCACCCCCTACCACCCTGCCGTCCATCTCCACATTAAAATAACGCACCCCACCTGCACCAGCACCCCTACTGCTCCCTACCACCCCCGCACCGTCAACAGCACTTCCAACAGCACCCCTAGCAGCACTCCCCTCCCCCTAGCACCCTTCCCTCGATAAAATGCGCCCTGCACCAGCACCCCAAACTGCATGCCTCCTGCCACCCGGCCAAACACTGTCCCTTCTTTGTTCGAAGTTGGAACCCCTACAGCTTTCGGCTATCTGGGGAACAAACAAACAAACAACCAAATAAACAAAGACACACACACACACACACACACAAAGAGAGACAAGCCTTACTGCCTTCGCTCACAAATCATCAGCTTAATGTCACTACAACAACACAAGCGCCAACTACAAATGAGTCGAACATCCGCACCTCGAAGAGACGAGGCGCCTGAACAACAGTGATCCCGACAAATTCGACGTGGGTGGCTTCGAGGACGAGCGGCGACCGCAAGTTGATACTTTGTATTGATCCTTTTCAGAATGTCTTGGCCGGCCCTTGCTGCAGCGGTGCACCAGTCCTAGCATTCCTGATGTCAAACCTTTTGGAGGCAAATGGCTCGTCCTGTAGGTGGAAAAGTTGAGAGACACTATATACCCAAATGCTCTGACAAATGACTCAAGTGCGGGAGCCTCCTTTTCGCTGCTGCTGATGGAGGCAGCGAAGGCTGGAGCTCCTTGCCAGATATATATATATATATATATGTATGTATATTACATATATATATATATATATCACGTGGTCTCTGTGGCAGACTGGCCGATGACAATATATTCAAAAACAACACGGCAAACTGTAAAACGGTGGCATTTTGCAAAGGACGTCTCGACACAGCCCCTTTCGAGCACGTGCGCCAGGCTGAAAAGCAATGACATGTAACCTGACAGCTTGCAAGTAAGACCATGTAAGACCCTAAGCGCACACATATGAAGCATCGCCCATCAAAGACTGGCAGGATCCTTTCCAAGTACATTCCCCAACTGCATTGCTGGAATCATGCCTGAAGAATGAGGCATGAATGACTATTCCCATGCAATATCGGTCTCACTGACACTCTGCCGATCCCATGCAATCTGATGATCTCGTTGTCGCTTTTGCTCACACAACACGTTCGAACACGAGTAACTCCAGCAAACACAGGTCTCTGCGCCCCGTATCCACATGCCGTTGGGCAACATCCGTTCCAAGCATAACCGGTCAAGCCCTCCCAAACCTTCCGACGTGACGGTTCGGGGTGACCCCAAACAAGCCCCATCCTGGGTCCAGGTGCTCTGCCAAAAGATCGCAAAGAATGGACAAAGCGCCTTGCCAGCTGCTCCCTGGCACCGAGGCGCAACGAGTTCCTCTCCAGCCCATTGTCTGGGGGAAGATGTCTGGTGGGTTTCAACCACTGCGGGCCCCTTTGAAGAAGTTTGGGCTCACAGTCGGTTGAGAAGAGGGCGAGTCTGGCAGCAAAGGCAAATTTGTCAGTTGTCAACATTATATCTGAAGAGATTGGGCTTAAAACCATGACTTCCATGAGCTTCCGCGTTTGATTGTGAGAAGCTCCCAAATGCACAAGGTGTGTTCGGGAGGCTCTTGACAGCACCCAATGTCAGCAGAATCTGAGGGATCATGAAAGCATTGTGAGCTGCCTTAATATATACCATATCACGAAGGCTGGCAAAACACCACTCATCCACCCACGACACAAAAGCTTGCCTCGACTGCAAGCGAGAATGGCCTCGACACACAGGCCGGCAACATGGCTGATTGGCAACAGTCAATAACATGACAATGTAGTGGCTCCACGTCGCAAGCGAAGGAGGAAGGCACCCAAACCTAGCGCTTTCATCTCCGGCAATGACGGCAACAATCAACATAAAAAGTAAACTGGTGCCAACTGAAGCATTCAGCTTATAGTTTGGCAGGATCTTTTCACACAGTCAGTAGTGAACGCGCTCAGGCAGCAAAAGACTGCCGCAAACTCTAGCTGGTGGCCAATGGTTTCCCACGAGTATGCGTACATGCGAGCATGATTGTCTCCCTCACATGGCCAAGTGCAAAATCCAGCCATGGCAGGCAACGCGCTAGTTTGTTGTAAGGCATGCACGCCAAACCATGCGTGTGTCTCAGCTTGCACTCACACACACACATACACGCAGCAAACATCACTTAGAATTCACTACCTCCTGAACACAGGAAGCGCAGCTTGGTGTAGAACAGCATGCTAATGTTGTTCGCATCTTATTGTGTCAAGCAAACTAAATGCTTGCTCTTAGTTCTAATGAAGCACATTAAAAACAGTACTGATTCTATCTCCCAGCGACGGGCAACCACCAGTGCTGGGCTAAGGCCAAAACAGAGCGGAGAGCAACAACGCCGGGCTCTTCTCTGTAGTCCTATGGCAGGAGACAGCTGACGCGATATTCCACGCTGGACTTCTAGGAGCAGAGATAACTACACCATCGGTCTGAGTTAGTTGAGGACGCTTTCAAGAATGAATGTAAACGATGAACAGGGGCAGGCTACTTCCTCCTGTCCCCAGAAGCTCAGTCATCCTGCCGATTCCTTTCCGTACAGTTTGAAACCCGTGCTGAATGTCTTAGGACCTTGCAGGTGGTTGCGCGGTTGGTGAGTCAAACTACGAAAGAGGTCATCAGATGGTTAAAACTTGATGTTCAGCTAGGCACGAGCCAAGCTTGCTTTGAAATCACAGAAAGCTCTAGATTACCACATGTGGCGATACTCTGGTCCTGTTATGGAAATCCTTGTGTGCTACGCAGGATGTTTCACGATCTAAGGCTCAAATAAAATCAGGGAATAGTCTCCCTGATTTGAGGATGCTTTAAGGTTCACCAAAGGAAGTTTAGAAGGAACTTCCGTGGTGTGGCAACCAATTGAAAGCTAGTCTCTGACAGAATACAAGAGAAGCATGAAAAAATGCGTGTGCCAGGGATTTGAAATGTCTGAAGGACGAAGCCCCTCTGCGAGCCCTCAGATGCTCGAAAGATACCCTGATCGCAACGCCTGCTTGGAGCACGCTCGGAGCGCGTTTGAAGCCATCTCGGAGCGATCTCACAGCCGCAGTGGCACAAAGGCGCGCGGCGCGCGCGCTTTTCGCGTCGTTAGTTTGCGTGACAGGCGCAGCAATTCGCAAGGCGAGGGGCGAGGGACAGGTCTCGCGGCGAGCGCAACACTTTCGCAATCAGCTACATATTTTGTGGCAGGCGAAGCACTTTCACATGATGCATGTGTAGTTGTTCGCTCTTGCAGGGTGACGTACATATTTGGTGGCAGGCGCGTGAGGTGCAGATTTCGCGGCAGGCGCACAAGTTTTCACAAGGCCAGCTACAGATTTAGCGGCTGGCACAGCGCTTTCACATATGGTCATGCGCAGATCTCGTGGCAGGCGGAGCACTCAAGGTCTGGCAGAGATACATGGATAGATAGGTAAACAAAAATATACAAAGACACACAGATGATAGATGCAGATTTAAGGTAGAACAACAATAGGAATGGAAGGGTAGATTCGATAGCTACATGGCAGCTAGATAACAGATTGGCTGACAGATGGATAAACATGTAACCGACACATATATAGTTAGATAGACAGACAGGCAAATAGAAAGAAAGATCGAAAGAAAGAGAGAAAGAAAGACAAATAGGACAATAGATAAGATATACCATTGTGGATTACATACCAACAAATCTTAGATCGACAATGCGACAGAAAAAGGTCAATACATAGATTGATGGGTAGAAAGTAAGACTAACTAGGTACAACTAGCTAGAAAGAAAGATGACACTCGCCGGCCCGCGCGATAGAAAGTGACAATAAAATACAAACATGGACGGTTAGAAGGTGAGATTAGGCAGATAAAAAGATAGGAATAAGGATAAGATAGACAGATGGAGTAGGTAGTTAGATAGCTGATACGCAGGTAGATAGTTGGTAAGATAGATAGGTAGATAGATAAACAAGTTGGTTGGCAGACAAACAGAGAGACAGATAGGCCGGCAGGCAGGTATAGATTGATGTCTACATTGATAGATAAATAGACAGATAGATAGATAGAAAGATGGATTGGATTGGATAGGATAGATAGGATAGATAGGATAGATAGGATAGATAGGATAGATAGGATAGATAGGATAGATAGGATAGATAGGATAGATAGGATAGACAAAGAAAGCAAGTGGGTAGATAGATAGGTAGATATGTAGGCAAATAGACGGAACAACAAACAAAGAACAAGAGAAACAAAAGGAAGGAAAGATATAGAAGGGAAATATCCATAAGAAAGAACAACGAAGGTAAATTAGGGCGGACAAAAAGGAAACAATGAGAAATCAAGAACAAGAGCAAACACAAAGAAACAAAAAACAACTCTAGTGTGTGTTCTAATCTTGATTCTGGTCGTTCTTGATTTCTTGAAACTTTGATCCCCGGCTTCGCCGGGCTACCTTGGCGGCAGAACCACCGAGCTGAGATTTGGATGGGGCTAGTGTCCTCCAGGAGCTGCAGCAGCTGTTGCCAGCGCCCAGCGCGCTCCAGGCTGCTAGCCTCAATGGCTAATGTTTGCGTGTCAGTCGGTTTTGCGACAAAAAACGGGACGAAACAAAAACCCGTGGACAACCTTTCTAATTGTATATCCTGGTATCGGTTAGCATCGTTGTTTGGTGCGCGTGGCAGCTCTAGATCGAAAGTCACAACTTCTCAGTACAAGTGTAGCATGCAAAGTACAGTCTGGCTCGAAAGTCGCGACTTTGCAGTACAAGCGTCGCATACGAAGTACACTCAGGCAGCTCCGGCTCGAAAGTTGCAACTGTTGAGTACAAGTGATGTATAGTGTAGTGTGTATATATATACAAACACATATTAGTATATATATATATATATTGAGTGCATGTTGGCAGCTCCGGCTTGAAAGTCACCACTTTTTGGTACAGCACACAAAGTGCATTTTGGCAGCTCCAGGGTAGCTGGTCGGCTAATCAATTGGACATCGGTTGGGCATCGGTTTGAGCGTCTGTTTGGCCCCTGCACATGTTTGATTCCGCAATCTTGGTTTGCGACAACAACTTGGACGTGATGTGTGTCTTCATGGCTTCTGCGGGTAGCAAACAAAGTTACGGGGCGGGCCCTTACATATCGAAAAGGCACGTTCTTCCCCCCCGACCCATTTGCAGGTGAGCCAGTCACTGCAATGGCCGGGATGTTTTTTGTTGCAGAAACGGACAAGTGTGTCGATAAAGCTACTACACGTTGCAAGCCTGGCAAAAGCTGACTTGATGGCCAAAGCTGACTGGATCGCTCTCTATCAAGTCAGCAAAATCCAGGTTGGGAAGGTCAAGCATTGTGCAGCCATCAAAACATATTCCCTGGGCTCCTCACCCGTGCCTAGTCCCCTGTTCCTTCAAGCCGTTCTCTGGCCAACTCAGGCTCTGGCAACGGCTCCCAATGTGCTTTGGTCACATTGGACAGAAAACTCCTAGCGTCTTCGAGGAACATGTTGGCTGACACTGCCGAACAAGGCAACCATCTGAAGCTCACTTATCTTATCCACCAGGATGTGTCGCTCAACCGCTTGAACTATACATACGCAGAGAATTGACTCACACGCTCGGAAAAAACTGGCACAGGGCGAAAGAGGTGAGGGGCAAACAGGGCCGCAGAAGATTTGGGGCAAAAAGCGCTCCAGCAACAATTTATGTCCAAACTATGTAAACAGATTAAAAAGATATGTAACCTATGAGATCCCGCAAGCTTCTAACAAACAAATGAGCACGGAAAACACTAGATTCTGCCACGTACGCCTGAAGGCACAAGCTTGCATCTATCAGGAATGGGCACCATTCTCAACATGTGACACAAAGACTCATTCATGCAACGCTGGGCCTTTGCAATCAATGGCATCCACGTGTCTTCAGGAGCGGACAAGAGAGCACCTCTTTGGATATTCAACATAAAGAGTTGCGGCTCCACCTGCTGAACTGACCCCAACATCCTACTGTAGTGGGCAAAAAGTCCCAGCCTACACACATCAAAATAGTTCTTTGAGTCTTTAAATCACGTGAGAATATCAGTCGGTCCTTCATAGACACCATTATGTGCAGGGCCTCCTGCCACTTGGCCTCCTCGCAACTGGGATAAAACCCTTTGCCAAGCTGCGCGTCTCCGTGTCTCATTGTCTCATTGAGGACAAAAGCAAACCGTGTCTCTTGCCTTCTAGAATGATCAGGAATCAAACTCATTCTTGCAAGAACTCATGGCCGCAGTCGGCAGCTATTCAAACGCAGTACGCTCAAAAGCAAACATTAATGTTGTCGCATCATCACACGTGCGCATGGCGGAGAACATCGAACCTAACAAGTAGCATACTCAAAATTATCTGTAGTCTTCGGATCACCAGTAGTGATGAGAATTGCGCAAAGAGCTCGTGCCTCGTAGCATGTCATGTGCCAAACTTACCCGATTGACAAGCAACTGTCACCATCATGAAGCGGGCAACGCCAACATGTCGCTGCAACTTTGGGTTGTTCAAGGCTTTCAATGTATCACATGATGCCGCTTCCTCGGGCCTATAAATCGAAGCAGCTGAATACCCTCACCTTCTTGCAGGCGTTGAGGGCTGCATTGAGGCATGGCAGATCCAAAGCCCTGAGAGGCGTTGGGCACGCCGTGAGAGTTCAGCCGTGCCGACCCACAATACCGACGCATCGGCGCCTACTGGACACTGGACACCGGCAGGATTTGTTGAGGCTGATTTCTGCAACGGAAACTGAGCCCAAGTCACAACTCTAACCACAAATTGGAATTTGAATGAACAAACGTTTGGATGGCAATGCACATAGGATTTAGTCCTGCTTACCCATATGTCATACATCTGTTGAACAAAGTCAACATGGAAATCAGGGAAGCCGCGCTGCAAGGAGTCTCATTTGATCCGTACACGCCTAGATGGCAGAATCGTTCCAAACTTGCTGCCTAATTTCCACTGTGTCCGAGTTACAATGTAACAAGTAGAAAAGGTTGACAAACTTTTCAGGCTTCGGGCAAATCTAGCGCAAAGCGGCAACTTCTGAAGCGTTTCGCACACAATTCATGTGAATGCGTCAAAAATATGTTTCGGACCTCATGCCTTGCGGCACTAGTGCTGTTGAGTTGGGCGGCGGAAGCTACAATTCATGGGCCAGGTGACCTCAAATACTGATATTTTCCTCCGCTCAGCGCCGGGCAATTCAGAGGCCAGCAATTCGGAGAGGAGTGCCAGGGCCCTCTGCCACTGGAGACCCTGTGAAGGACGGGCCATGACAACAAACGCCCGAGCATCAACTACGAATCAGAATTTGAATTCATGTTCAAAAGGTGGACAAAACATGTGGATCCACAAATCCTGAATGGGTCAAAGGTAACACGCAAACAAGGCTTCTATGCTTCGTGTATTTGAGGCTCTGTGAGGCTCTCAGACAAGCTTGGCCTCCTCGCAGGCATTCATGGCGGCGCTAGCCGTGATAACCTCGGCGCTCAGCCAAGCCTTGACACCAAATTGTTCATAACTTTGGGCCCTACGGGTTGTGTTCCTATATTGACTCAGCCTGTAGGCCTGTAGGCCTGTAGGCCAAAGTAAGGCTCTGTCCACTCGAGTCTTAGAAGACAAACACGAAGTGAGGGAGCAAGGAAGCAAAACGTTTTTGTCTGGACAGGCTTCGGACCTGCGCGTACTGTCGTTGCCCACTGTCGTTGCCCACAGTCGTTGCCCATTCAAGGATTCATGCCAAATTCAGGATAGCATCTATACAGCTCAAACATTGCACGATCCTGATGTCATATGCAACAGCCTCGCGCTCAGCCACATGTGATGCAGTTGATTCCCGACAATGCCTCAATGAGCCAGTTTCTGCCAACATTATGCTGATTTGGCGATGTTTCTTGACAGCTGTCTGCTATGCCTCGATTCCATAGTGGCTCAGCTCCCGGCATCTTGCTCCAGCGATGCGTCTTGCATCTCCTGGAGTCAAGGGCAACTGATGCAAGCCACAACAACCATTGCGACCTACAATGTGTACATTGTGAGCAATCACGATCTAAAGGCAGGGCCCAAAAGGAAACCATGGCCAAACAAATGTTTAAGTGACCAGTGTCAAGGACAGCTAGAATCAGCAGCAACAATTCGACATAGACGTTTATGACCATATTGGACTAGTGGACGCCTAACATGCAGAACATGTCACCATCATATCATTCGCTAAACCCGGAACACATACCGAGTAGTCGAAGCGGATGTGTTTCGAATGACAGCTACCAAGTTCATCAGTGCCGGATCAATTGATTCTTCCGTTCTCCCCCATTGCTCTGTCTCATCAATCACCTTGAAGCAGCAGTGGACAATTACAGCAAGCATCATCCACAAAAGGGCCAGCAGCAGCAGCAGCAGCAGCAGCAGCAGCAGCAGCAGCAGCCGCAGACTCACAAGCCTTCCAACAATAGCGGAGAAGCGTTCTGCCATCTGTAGTCAAACACAACTTGATGCTCAGGCCTCTGGACTTCTGTGCACTCCCAAATTGCCTGACCCTGTCCTCCAGCAGAGCCAGGGCAAGGTGCCATTGCTTGCCCTGCCGCAGCACAGCTTGGACCGCAGCCCTTTGCACCATTTTGACCGCAAGGTAGGCCCTCAAGAGGATTGCCTAACCACCACGCATCCCGAACGTGAGCAACATGAGCGACCGTCACTTACTGTTGTGTTTGTGAGGCTACACACACATATATATATATATTATTGGGTGTTAGATGGTGTTAGACATGGAAAACAAGGGAATGGGACTCAACTGAAATGCGAAGAGCTGCTGGTGGATGCTGGTGGCACCTACGGGCTGCTGGCCTGTCCAATGGCTCGAATCGAAATAGACACGTTGCAACGCCGTTGTTTCTCCATGCAAACCAGGGCTCTAGCAGTGCCATGAGAGCCCATGATTGTCCAGCCCTGCCTGGCCACAAGCGGTGATGGCAGCATTGAAGGCATGTGTGTTGGCTGCCACTTGACCACTCCTGTGCTGCAATGCCCTGCGTCAAAAACACTGCTGCAAAATCATGGCCCACAGTAGTGAAAAGCTAAGGTAGGGTCAAATGCATAAAATCATGTGGATGCAGGTTTCCGGAAGCCAAATGCAAAGCATCTCCGTAGAAGCCCATCCAATAGCAATGTTTTGGGACATGCAGCCCTGGGTACAGTATCCTAACAATCTCGGGAGCAAAGAGAGATCACAATTCTGTGCTGAGAGAAAAACTTATCTTTGTCAACTTCCATCAGCAAGTTGAATCACAACACTGATTACACAAAAGTACAATGGTCACCATCAGCTGTGCCATAGCGTTGACCCTCATGTCTCATGTCGGGAGTGATAGTTTCCTTGATACAGATCCGATCGATGGCCGACTCCCATTGCACCAAGTGCCCAAATGTGCGCCCCGCGACCGTGACTTCGTGGCCGCGTGTCTCCTGAATTCTGCCAGTAGCTCCAGCGCCAGTTCCCAGTTGCCTGGTCGACACGCGTGGCTACAAATTGTCCTTCCAGTCTATCTGCTTGATGAGGATCCAAAAGGCTAGCTTCTACTGCTTGAAACTAATTAGTACACAATCTTCAACAGCAAGCTCTTGCAATGAGGTAGCCGTTGGAACTGTGTCTATCACAAGCACTACTGATGATGCCTTTGTGATTGGAGAGTGAGCTCAAGGGCAAGGATATCCAGCTGTTTTCCGTGATTGATGCAATGTTGAATGACAAGGTGCCAATGTACAACGCCTGTCGTTGAACACCAGCTCGATATGTCTGACAGCTAAAATTGAGGACCCCTTTCGACTCTCCCCTCGGTGCTTGGCAACCTAGATGAAACCAACAATTGGGAGTGCTTCCTAGTCCTGATGTGCATATGCAATCTGTAGCAGTATGTATCGACATGTAATTACGGGCTCATCAGCAACACATGTGGTGTAATGTCAACAGGGACAGGGGTGGGTTGCTCAGGGTTGTCTTTCTTGGGTCACCCCAAATGGGATCTAACAAATAGTTCCTTTGTTGCTACACACACATGAATGTCCTTTGGTGCAAGCTGGAACCCTTTTTTTTAATTGCCGCTCAAGATCGCCTGACCATGGGGCTTTGGATTGTTCAGATTGAATGTGCCTAAGTGTTCGGGCAATGAATGCAAACACATCGAGCATATGCGGATGTTCGAGCCTGGACCTCAAGTCGCAGTAACATGCAGCTCATGAAGAATACAAAAAGGTTAGGGCTAACGCTCAAACACTCAGAGCAATTGAATTATTTGTCTGCAAAAAAAAGATCTTCCAGCGCCTTGCACTGGGCAAGACATGCTTTGAGCAGCTCCGATTCATCAGCAATAACCCCCGCTCCCCTCACAAAAAAAAAAGCTCTGGAGGGGCTAGTTGCGCACTCGGTGTGCCCGGCGCGAGCCTTCATGGCCGAGGGAGCTCAATGCAGCGCTCAGGGTGACAGTGTTGGGCTGAACTGCTTGCTGCTGCATCTTCTCCTGCAATGCCACAGGTGCCAGAAGGGAAGCAACAAAGAAAAGCAAAGCGAGAGATTCCCTTTGGTGAAAACAATAATCACAGGACACGCACCATATCAAAGCCATGCTGGCTGACGGATATCCGTAGATATACTTTGTGTGCGCGTGTTGACATAGAGTAAGAAGCAAGTATGGGATATGCACAGGTGTCGCGGGTGCTGCTCAATTTCCAATCCAAGGTTTGAATTGGTAGGCATGCCACCCCGTCATGTTCGACAAACAAACACCAGTAATTTGGGACCTGCGGCGATCACAGCAGGAAGGCTACTCCCAATCAGCAACACTTTCCAAAGTATGTCTGGCAAATAAGTGCTCATGCCAAGCGTCTGCGGCATGCTGGCGAGGAAAATGAGGAATCCGAACAACAAAATGCTTGAGACAGTGGGCAGGGGCGGTTGGGGAACTCGCTTAGCATGCCAGGGTTGAGTAAGCGCCTACTCACTTTGACGGTCAAAACAGGGAGAGCTTCCTCGTTGCTCTCAGCAAATGGTGAGGAAAATTGATTATTGATTGATTATGATACGCATGAGCGAATCAACACTTTGGCAATTTCAAGAAAACACGGTATGTCGCACGTGATCGCACCATTTCCCCCCTTTTCCGTCTGCCTGGTCTAAGCATACTGCCAGAAAATGGGAACAACCCTTGCTGGGGGCTTCCTTGGCCCATCCCCCCGTCGAGACAGCACGAAGCTCCAGGAAGTCCAAGGTCAGCCGCCAGCTCTGGCCGTTGCAGGCGCTGATGGCTGCGCTGTAGGCCACCACCTGGGAGCATTGTGCCAGGATCAAACGTATGATGAACGCCTAAACGCGACAAGGACAATGACCACGCACTTGCTAGGAGCGTAGTGAGTAGAAAAGAAGTAGAGATCAAATCCAAGCGTCTGTGCAAGAGAGCGCTTGCAAGGTCGCTTGCTTCCAATGTCCGGAGTAGCAGATGGAAAAGAAACAAAGTAGGTTGCCACGCACACACACACACATGCACTGGCGGGACACTGCTAGCAGAAGCAACTCGCTATACAGGTGGCTTTGAACCTGGCTTTTAATTGCTTCCGTATTTGCTGTCATCCAGCATTGGAAATCAAACTGAAGGAAGCAGCTGACAATTTCCCAAAAGTTGAAGCTACATGTTACATGCTCCTGCACTACAAAGCCTACAACCAAGCCAGTTCCGTGATTTTGCCCTCGCAGAAAGTCACATTGCATGAGCAACACCCTACAAGCACCAAGGGTTGCCGCTTGTCAGGCGCTGGTCAAAGTCATAACGTTATATCACTAGCCTGCTCGAAATCCTGGGGGCCTAATCGCAATCCGTAATCCGCTTAAGCCTTGCGTTGTTTGGTAATCTTCTTAATCCGTAATCCGCGCTTCACACTTTGGGTCAAAACCGTACGTTGGAGCATGGAAAATCCGTGCACCCCATAATCCGCAACCCGCAAGCCCGCATAATCTAATCCGTAAACCGCAATCCGTAATCCGCTATCATTGGGGATTAGGTTTTGAACAAGCCAGTATCATTACGAGCGTTTGGTCAATGAAGCTGCCAACGCGATTTGACCAGATTCAAGTCAACGCCCCAATCATCTCACAGCTATGCATCTTGGCTCACATTTGGGCCTCTGGGTCTCATTGGCATTAGCGACCTGTGACCTGGCCACATCACACATTACACAGTATTTATGCTGACATCTTCCCCCCCCCGGTGACACAAGTGTTTGGAGTGCAAACACTGTGCAAACCACAACACATCCACTACTCTGTACATACATGCAGCGTGTGTGGATGATCTGCTAGATGCGCAGTTGATTTGGTCAGTGTTCCGCAATTCGTATGTATGTGTGCAATGACTGAGGTACACACGTTGACGGCCACTTTGTTTCGCTGCATCTCCTTGAATGCACCACGTCCGAAGCTCCGTCGAAATCTTTAGGGCATGGCATGAAATGCTCGTGGCATAGAACATGGAGCCAGGGGTCAACTTGCCCAATGTTCAATTATGTTCAATTAATTAGCCGGTGACAGACCTCAAACACCAGCAAACATGTCGCAACGATGCTCCATCTTGCTGCTGGCCGCAAACAACACAGCTTCAGAACCTGGCTCCCACAAAACAAGCGCATAGCGGCAGCTGTTTCTTGCGTCAATAGAATCAATTGTCCAAACTCCGAAGAGCAGAATTGTTGAGCATGTCATTCAGCGTGAGCTACATGACCTGCAATGACACGCGAAGGCAAAAAATACACATGACATGCCTACTTGTGGTTGTCAAACATGTCCGCGTCATCGGATGAGGTTAAACCCCAGTTGATTTTAGCTTGGCGGTTGCAATTTGTGCTGAGCATGCGATGTCAGGAAAATTGCTTCTCTATGCGCATCTATGAACCAATATTTATTTTGGTGATGCAGAAAACACCCATTCGGAAGGAGCCTAACACGCATTCTTTCAATTCTTGGTCAAACGAAATCTGAAGGACCCTGCTTGCCTAGCAGCGCCTCTCGGCCAAACTCTGTCATGTCAATCCATGGAAGTCACAAACATGTCAAGGGAGCACTTCCGTCATAATTGCATCAAACGCACGCGGACTGTCTTACTAGCGACAACAAGATAATTTGCGGCCCTGTGAGTGAGTGTGAGTGAGCTGACTTGTTTGCTCAGAATATAGTGCTGCGTTGTGGACTCTGACAAATGTAGCAGTGTTGATTCACGAGTTACCAAGCAGTCACAAATTTCATGAAACTGTGCAAAACTCTCCATATCCATAAAACTGACAAAGGCTATTGCAAAAAGAATGCCCCAACAGGCCAATAGGATTGATCACCTGGAGTCTTCCAAAAAGGGTACCATCCGAAGTGCGATCCTAAACTGGTGACTGAGCATCGCCATTCGACTCCGGAGCACACCGCTCCTCGAAGAGCACCAGTGCACGCTGCCACTGAAAGCCGCCGCACGCCGTGATCGCCGCGCTGTAGATGACCAGGTTCGGCTTCAGCTGGCGGATCCGAAAACATGGGCTGTGACCACAGCCTGGAAACCCGAGAGAACTAATTATAATTGGGGATCCAAAATATGGATCACCCATGTACTATAAACTCATTTCGGGCACCGTGTCCTACTGGGCTTCCCAGTAACGCAGCGGCTTACGAAGCAAGGCATGGGTCGCCTGGCGAGTCCATCCTCAATCTGCATGTTTTTGAGTCGTGTCAGTAAGCCCGGCGGGTTTGTTCATGGACCTGTGCTCCCTGTCATGCTACTCATTGAGGACACATCACTGGCAGGTTTGCTTTGGGTATTGTTACGAACGTGCCCCAACCAGAGCGGGAGGTTGTTGTAAACAATCCCAAGAATCCAAGAAGAGGGCTTCGTGAACTTTGAGACCTATTTCGATGTTTTCTAGTGTCCATGTTCTGTTCGGCATGTTCCGAACACCTGCACGAGCGGCATCTGCTGCAGCACACTCAGGGCTTGCTCCCACACCTCCTGGCACGTACGTGGCCCAGAGGCGCATTGCAGGATCGAAAGCACACACAGAATTCCAGTTGTCCAGCACAGTGCTCCGCAACATACGCATCCCAAATCGCCACCAAGAAGGTGTGCGATGCGCAACCAATACTCACAGTGAGTTTCACCGTAGAAAATGGGATAGTTGACGATGCTTCGTCAAACTTCTTTCTGGTGGGCGGTGGAGGGCCTGTGCTTCAAACTTGTCAAACAGGGTTCAAGCCTGCATATGTACTGCCCTCAGCTGAGCGAACATTCATGTATTGTCCTAAAGCTTGGGCTAAAAATTGCCAAAGTCACCTGGGCCCGCCAAAGTCACTGCCCATTGCATGTCATGCAGGCCCGCCTGTGTATCTTTTGTGTCCGTGTGTGAGTGTGTGTGCGTGCGTGCATGCATGTACTGTACGCAGGTGTGTGTGTGTGTGTGTGTGGGTATGTATGTATGTATGTATGTATGTATGTATGTATGTATGTATGTATGTATGTATGTATGTATGTATGTATGTATGTATGTATGTCTGTATGTATGTATGTATGTATGTATGTATGTATGTGTGTATGTATGTATGTATGCATGCATGCATGCATGCATGCATGTGTGTGTGTGTGTATGTGTGTATGTGTGTGTGTGTGTCTGAGTATGCATGCATGTATGCATGTATGCATGTATGCATACATGCATGTATGTATGTATGCATCTATCATATATATATATATGTATGTATGCATGCACGCACGCACGCACGCATGTATGTCTTGTAATGTAATGTAATGTAATGTAGTGTAGTGTAGTGTAATGTAATGTAATGTAATGTAATGTAATGTAATGTATGGTATGGTATGTGATGTGATGTAATGTATGTATGTGTGTATGTATGTATGTATGTATGATGTATGTATGATTATGTATATATGCATGTAGGTATGTGGGCACACATGTATGTATGTATGCATGTATGTATGCAAGGAAGGAAGGATGGATGGATAGATGGAAGGATGGATGAATGGATGGATGGATGAAAGTTGATGGAAGGATGGAGGGATTGATGTACACATAGATTGGTGGATGGGTGGATGTGTGGATGTGTGTATCTGTGTATGAAAGTGTATTTGCGTATACTTGTGTATGTGTGCATGTGTGTACGCGTGTATGGTTGTACGTGTGTATGTCTGGGTGTGTATGTGTAGGTGTGTGCCTGTGTATGCGTGTGTGCGTGTGCGTGTGCGTGCACGGTGTTGTGTGTGTGTGTGCGTGTGCGTGTGGCTGTGTCTGTGTCCGTGTCCGTGTCTGTGTATGTGTCTGTGTGTGTGTGTATGTGTATGCATGTAGATGCGTGATATGTGTGTAGATGCGTTGCATATGTGTGTATGCGTGTAGGTGTTCTATATGTGTATGTGTGTCTGTATGTATGTATGTATGTATGTATGTTTGTATGTATGTATGTATGTATGTACGTACATACACATGTATGTATGGATGGATGAATATGAATGGATGGATGAATGGATGCATGGATGGATGTTTGCATGCATGTCTGCATGCATGCATGCATGTCTGTATGATGCATGCATGTACTATTCGTGCAGGTGTGTGCGTGTGTGCGTACACATTTGAGCGGTGGTCACAACCCGGGTTCCACGATGTTATATTCCATGTCTGCCTTCGCGAACCCTTTCGCCTTTCTCGAATCTTGCGCACTCCACACTTTTCCTTTCGCGCAGCACATTGGGCCAAGAAACACTTTGGAGAGCTTTTGCGGACGGTTCAGCAAGCAACTCAGTGTTCAAAGTCGGTCTTTCGGCGGGAACATGGTTCTTCGCGTCCTTTTCGCGAAGCTTTCGCGGCCCTGTGATGCCCTGTGTTTAACTTTCGCGCAGCAACTTGCAAGACAACACCTTTACTAACTTCTTTCACTGGGGCTTTGAACGCTGCTCATTCGGTGCCACTGGTAGACAAGCGGTTCAGAACCACCTTGCTGGTCGGCGATGCCGTGTCAGCGTTGTGTGACTTATAAGCTGCTCCCGGCATCAAACTGATGCACAATCCCCAAAGAATAACCTCCCCTAGCAACTTTGTTTCTTTCTTGCTTGCTCAATAACAAAAATCCCGATAATTGTTGGTTTGTTCTATGCCGAAACGGCCAAATCGCTTGCTCAAAGATTTGTGCCGCACCTCGCAGCCGCTGACTGCCGCGCCAAAGGCCAGCAGGCTCCGGCGGAGGTGCCTCGCCTGGGAGCTTCGGAGGCACCGATCGCGCCGGTCGGACTGTTGGCTTGGCAGAGCGCGCATCTTCTTGGCACAGGTTTCCGTACCCTGCAAGCAGTTGATTCCGCCAAACAAATCCTAAGGATGCCAGTAACCATGTATCATGTCGGCTGCCCGTTTGCTCGTGCAAAACCGTGCAAGCCACACAAACACGACTCGGCGTTACTGTCGGAAATATCATCGTTCTGTTGGACTGGCTCGGTCAGTTTTGATGCATTCAACACGCTGTTACTTTCACGTCAGAGGCCCTGTGAGCACGACGGACACAGATTCGCCAACTTCCAAGCGCGGAAACTAGCAGACCCCTGAAAAAATAAACTCCTTAAGCACGACCAGACGCCGTACATTGTTCGAGTGGACTTGGTGAAACAAACCCTGTCTGCTACCAGCTCGGTGACACACATAGGAAGGCCACACAAATAATTTGCATAAACTGTCTCTTCTGATGAAGAGTGAGGAGCCCTTCGCCTATTGTGCCCAAGGTGAAGCAACAATTATCGGCCTTTGAATCGCTGCCTTTTGTATTTGACGACTCGCTGGTGGTGTGAAAGGTTCTTGTTGCTCGTCACAGGGCCAACGCTTTTGACTCTGGCACTCGGCTTGCCAAAGGTATGTATTCAAAGGTCCATCTGCTTGGCGCAATCAGAACCGCCCCAACTCAGGAACAAGGACGTCCGGTCTAATTCTCTGGACTTACATCTGACTGTTTTGGACGGCATGCGAACAATAGTCACCCGAAACGACTATCAGGATAGTCAACCAAGGGTCTATCGTCTGGGGTGAACATGGCTGTTGTTCAACACTAGAGGGCCGCTTTGTCCCAATAAATGGCATCATTTCGGACCACGCAAACTGGTGACACCTAATTCCGTTGATTTGTTCAAAGCGCGCAAACAGCCAGTCCCAAGCCCGCCCAAACCCTGCCAGGTCCAAGGTTAGAGCATGCCACCAGCTCCCAGCCCACTCAGCCCAGCGTGCCAAGGTCAGTCTAACGTGTCTGAGACTGGGAGACTGGCCTCAGGCCAACGACCAGTCTCACGTGTCTAAAACTGGTCTCAAGCTACGCCAGCTACTAATCCTGTCTGACGTGCCCCAGCCCCCCAGTCCGGCTGCCCAAGCAGCTCAGCCCAGGCTGACCAGGCCTTGACCTCCTGCTCGTGTCTGGCCCCAAGTCATCCAGCAGGCCCAGCCCCTTCAGCGCTGTCTGAGACTGGTCTCAGCGTAGTCCGGCTGCCCAGCAGCCAGCAACCCACCCATGGCTTCGCAGCCTCGTGGCTGAGACTGGCTTCAGGCCCAGCCCAACCAGCAACCCGCCTAAGCAAACCCCACCCAAGCTTGAGACTCGCAGGCCTCAGCCTATCTAGCGCCGAGACTGGGCCTCACCAGCCTGGGTTAACTAGCGTCTAGCCCAGCCCAGTCCGCCTGCTGGCCAGGCCTGTCTGACGGCCTCAGGCCCAGCCCAGCCATAGCCCAGCCCCCTCAGTGCGGCTGCCCAGCACCGAGCAAGAAATGTATGTCATGGCAAGCCGCCAGCCACGTGAAATGGAGGTGCCCAAACACCCAAAGTTGGTCTTGGTTGTTCAGTGACACCAATTATTGTTCCCCTTTTTATGGAGGCCAAGCCCCACTAAAAATGCTCATCCCCAGAAAGAGGTCCTTTTTTTTCCAAGGGCACTGAGCAGCTGAGATAGTCTTGGTTTTGGATTTCAAACCTTCCGAGCAGGACGGCTTCCGAACATCGAACTAGCACGGGCGAACTGGTGCGGTCACAAGCTTTCAGTAGGATTCGGACCTTCCCAACACTGGATTTCGGTGTTCCTGACCCTTCCCTCAAACTAGGCTGGGCCGAGGCGGGCAACGCGAAGCGTTTACAATTAGCTTCAAAAGCCACACAAATTCTCAGGGAAACTTTTTGTTGGTGGCCCTCTATTGGGTTTCGGACCCTGGCCCTCTATAAAGCCCCACCTGCATCTCGTCCAGCAGCATCAGGCTTCGCTCCCATTGGGAAGCCTTGCCGCAGGCGTTCACCGCGGTTTCGAAGGACCTGGCCAAGACCGCAGCGCGGCTCGGGTGGCCAACGTGGGACACAGGCGGCACAAAACCAAACCATGGCCGAGCAAAAGTCAAGCCGAGTCAGGGTATCTCCGTAAAATTGTTGTGTTGTTCACAACCCTACTAAGCGCAATGCAACAAAACCAATTTTTTGTTGACATAGTCGGTGGCTTGCCCCTCCAGGAGGGGCTGACTGTCAAAGCCACCAATCCAAAGCCGCCTACTTACAGCTGGCAAGCTTGGAGGTGTGGAGAGACAACGTCATAGGATCTGCATAGGTCATGTGAATGATGCACATGTTGGGACCAGCGGGCAGCAATACAAGCGATTGAGCTTTTCACAAAAGTGTCTGAAGCATGCTACAAACCGCAGATTGGGTAAAACTTCCGGCTGCTGCCTGGGCTTCCCGACACCGCATCTGTGTCTCCGTCCAACAGCACCAAGGACATAAGCCACTGGCCAGCCCCTGCGCAGGCGGCCATGGCTGCATTGCCTGGAGAACAGCTGAGACATATTTCACTGGCAACATGCCACTGAAGGGCGAGCACTGTGGTGAACCAGGCTTCAAAACTCAAAATGGAGAAGTCCTCTCATGCGGGCGTGATCTTTAAGTTTGTCAAATGGATGCCCATCGGCTTGGTGGCCAAGCCTCAGCAAGGTCTTGCCATTGAATGGCTCATGACAGTGTAAACACAAACTTTAGTTCACTAAGACTAAACGAAACAAGAACGAGGTCAGTCTTGCTGGCGAGGTCATGCTAACTTTGAAACGATGTCAATGTCATCATGTGAGCCATATCTTCCGGGTCGGTTTTGGCCACAGGCCACGTTAAACACTGGTGCTCTGCAGTATAGGTGCGAGAGATGACATTTGGGATCAGCTCACAGCGCTCCATCTCCTCCAGTAGTGAGAGGGCTCGCTGCCACTGCTGGGCCTGCACGTCTATCGCTGGGAAGAATGGCACTACCACTTGCATGCTCCTGCGTGCAACATCGAACTAATCTGTCTGCAAAGTGATGCCACCAATGTGGGAGCAGGTGAACAGTCGCTCCGCGCTCCTGTGACAACACAAGCAGGCCTTTTCACAGGAGCTGATCGCAGAGCTGTAGGTGATTACATCCACTTGAAGGTCGCGGGTCACCTTGGGACTCGTCACAGTGTGGCCCTATCCCGTGACAACATGCCTGCTGAGGAGGCCAAGAGCACCATGAACAGTGGCATCGTCGACAAGCCAAGCAGGAGATCTTGTCTACAACTAGATTAATCAATGTCTGATTCAATTTGATGGGCCACAAAGAAGCTCCCATAGCCAGCTCTCCTGAACTCGCGGCACTCAGCATTGAGCAAACACCCAAAGACTTGGGGATGCCAACACCTGCAATGCGGAGGAGTGAGCAGCTGAGTAGGCCTGGTGCTTTGAAACCGGCAATCGGGCAAAGGTCGCATAAACATGATGACACGGCAGCATCGGCGAATGATACATCCCACAAAAGACCAAACCAAAGGCCTCTGACCCTGAGTCTAGCCGGGATTCATGAACTAGTTGCCTTTTCTATCATGTAATGTACTGTGGATTGCGAATCACTGCCATTTAGATTCAACATCAGGTCATGCATGACGTATGCTCACTTGGTTGGCTAAGTAGCAGCTTAAAATCAAACAACAACAAATACACTAAATGGCCGCCAATGGTGCACCAATCAAACGAGGTGTATGCTACATCCCAGCAGGCTCAAACAAGAGCATTCAACGGCCTTGAACACTCAACCATGTCTTCCCCGCGAGTCCTTCGTGACTCGCAGAATTGCTCAAAACGCAAGCACCACTTCCAACCTGGGAAAAGACGAGTTGCACCCTGAGATTGATGCAGTCTGGGTCGCCACATCTAGGAGGGTCAAGGCCACGGTCCACTGAGCCCCACAACTGCTCATGGCTGCGCCTCAATCCGGGATCGCACAAATCCTCCCCCAGTTTTATGGCCTCTGACCCAACGAACTGTGGAATGATGCCCAGTTTGTTGGCTTCCGCCAAGCATGTTGTCTCACAAGGCTTGCAATATGAAGCAGGCAATGTGTTGGTGCAAACGGCCGAAGCATCTCTGCAGCAAGAACACATCATGAGAAAAGTTTCATGCTGACGGCAAAAAGCAACCGAATATATGAGGGTTGTCTGAAACTTTTTGTTCGGAAATGCCATCTTCGCGAAACAAACACTTTCGCGACCTCCATCTCGGATCCTTCACGGGGCTAATTCGCAACATTCATCACGCAAGTGGTGCACGAAGCGCACTTTCGCAGTCTCGGATCGCAAGTCGCAACTTTTCAGTACACAACTAGTACACGAAGTGCACTTCCGCAGCGTGCATCAACCTACCAGGGGACTTGTTGGCAACCCATGTCCGGATTTTGGCAGGCGAGTCCATCGACTTTCGCGAAACTTTCGCGGATCTTGCCCACACATTACAGAACAGCTGGCTGGAAAGTTGCCCTCAACTGGACCCGAAAGCTTCAAAGCTTCAACAAGCTGCTTTCTTCTGAGGGTCGCTTTTGCAGCAACCTATTCTTGCTGCAATCCTCAGGCCGCCCTGTCCTCCGACCAACTTCAGTCCGCAAACATTGCCGACAAATACATACAAGTATGGTTCATCATGGCATCTTCCTTCTAGGAAACCACCCCGACACAAAACTTTTGCGAGAAAATTGCTTTTAGCAAACTCCGTTGCGAAGCTTTCGCAGAGGGCAACACTAAGACAAAAGGGTTTTCCCCTTCATACCTGAATACAAGGACCTATTGGATGACTCCCATATGCCTTGTTCTGGAAAAAACGAAGAAAACAAAACAATGATGTTGTCCTTGTGAGAGTGCCTATGCAATAGGCCATGGAACAAGCAACAGGCTGATCGCTAGCTAGTCCCGACATGGCGCTGCTTGTGAAAGCCGAGCCACTGTACGCGATGACATTGGCTTGCACTTCTTTTGTTGCCTGAGACATCTCGATCCAATACAGGAACATGACATCGAGATACGCGAAACAAAAAATGTGCCTACAAGCAGGGGATTTGACACAGGCGACACAAACTGGGATCGGGCCTCTGCTCTTGGCATGACCAACCACATGGGTTCTGTAAAATATGTGAACTCATTTAGGGTGAATTGCGGGCACAGTCAGGGGAGCCTGGTGGTGGTGGTTGGTGGTGGTGGTGGTGGTGGTGGTGGTGGTGGTGGTGGTGGTGGTGGTGGTGGTGGTGGTGGTGGTAAACCTTTGAAGTAAGGCAAAACGCCGAGCGTAGACGAAAAGCCAGGGCTGATTTGACAATCACAAAACTGGTAGAACTTCTTTTGTGCCTGAATTTGGCGAGGCAAAAGGGAAGGGATTGTGCGCTCTGCTCCTCTCTGGACTCACTGAAGCAACCTTTCAAGCGCTCTGTGAACGTTTGACAGCAGTCTGTGCTGATGGATCGTGCCACTGCCCTACTCTTCTTAAGGTGACAACAAGGAACCCCACGCGCGCACTCAACTTCCATTTCTCGGTGTGGTTCGAAACTTTGCAATGCGCGACAAGCTTTCCCGAGCATTTCTGGGACAAGGACTTGCAAGAACCGGAATCTGAGTGCTCCATAGAAAGTTTCAACACATCAGTGTGAGTCAGTCCCATTGCGCTCTCATCTGGATATTGCCGCTTCGTTTACGTGATATCCAGCCGAGCTCAACAGGGGCACGGTTGGCGGGGTCAACTTTTGTCTTCTGATTGCTTCAGAGTCGCCATCTCCTCCAAAAGCGCGATGGCCACCCGCCAGTGCCCAGCCTTGCGGCATGCGTTGATGGCACCTTGGCGGGAAAAAGGCGGCGAAAGGCAGTTGGCATCGCCACACCAAATCATCCGTTGCTCCTGTTGAATGCAGCCTCTAAATAAATATAATCTTCCGACCCCCCAACTTCCTGGTACTGAACTCGAATTGGGAAATACTAAACCAACACTGAACTCACAGATTCCCGAGTAGGGGATACCTCTAAACAATGTATATACATATTGCTTGCAAATGTCAATTGCAAGTTGCAACAAGTGTAATTTCAATGGCACAGAATTGTGGGGTGGGGCGTCTCTTCTTGGAGTAGTTCTGCGAGAAAATCCCCCTGTGGCTGACTAAGACCACAGGTTCTTTTGAGAACTCCTTTGTTGCTCGCAGACTCGGTCTCACGGCCGAAGCAAACGAGAGGGAGAGAGAGAGAGAGAGAGAGAGAGAGAGAGAGATAGAGAGAGAGAGAGAGGGAGAGAGAGAGAGAGAGAGAGAAAAAAAAAAGCCAGCTGCTCCAATGTGCAAAGGAGGCTACTGCTACGGCTAACCTCTTCACCGCGTATTCTGGGAATCTACGGATTCTTGTACGCCAAGTCATACTTGAAGGGACCCTGTTCGGAGAAAGTGCAACACCAGTTTCGACGCAGGGCCAAGCAGAACAATCGAGGCACGCGTTCAAAAGAGTGCAGGCGCTCAATACTACGATCTAACCAGAATCAACCCCTTCATGGCTCTTCGAGATGGTTGATATCTGCTGATTTTACTTAGGATCTCAGTGAAGGCAACGAATCATTGTCGCACTTGCCCTGATGCAGCCGGGGCCATGCCTCCGTAGGCCGGCGCTTCTGCTGGCGCCAGGCGAAGTAACTGAAGTGCCATGCCCCATTGGCCGCTGCGGCCGCAGGCGCCTGGCATTGCTTGAGGTCATGGAAGCCTTTGCCAAGGGAAAGCACATGGAGAGGTGAGATCCAGCAACACTTTGCTGCACATGTGGAACTTGGTTGCAAGGCTCAGCATTCCTGCCGGCCAGTTCCGAACTCTCGCAATATGCGGTCCAGCAGATGTTGTGGCTTCTTCAATCTTCTCCAGGCTCTGCCTGCATTTCGGCTCTATTCTGCTTGGGTCAGTGCTCTCTGAGTTGAATAGAATCCTCATCTCATCGTGAGATACACTCATGTAGTCTAATGGGCTGTGTTGTGCTGCTCATTCCAGCAGTGAAGAATCTTGACTGTGCTTGCCGCGCCTATGGCAGCTCCAATCGCGACGGGGTCCCGGCAATCGCCGAGTGTGGCTATAGACCGCTGCCATTGCAAGGCTTTTCCTGCGAGATACGCAAAGCGCACACGGCGTTGTGTTGCCCAAACAGTGTCTCAGGCAGCTGCCAGTCCACAAACCCCGTTCCTGGGGCTTGCATGACCACTTCACCAAGGTGTATCGACTGCAATTGGACAGGCAAGCTTCACGCTTCCCTGCACCATGGCGAATGCGTGGTAAAACTAGGTCCGACCATGTCTAATTTTTCACTCGCGCACTCAGTGCACTCGAGAAAGTTGCCCAGCTCCATTTAATATTTTATGGCGTCCGTGCCTTTGGACCATCTGCCAGCCAACTTCAACTTTGCTCTCTCTCTTGACAGCATTTGATCCCTCTTTTGCGATTGGACCGCCTTTTGGATGATTAGGTGGCGCTGGCAAACAAACAAACAGATGCAAGCCGGCGGCCATATCAGCTTCTCCCATGCCAAAACCGGTGTCGAATACGTCCTTGGGCCGAAATGAGGTAGACGCGTTGCGCCACATCCATCAGCCATGGGACCCCAGAAATGCAAACGATGAAAACAATAAGGGCAATCCAGGCACGCCATCCAGCGCCAAGTGTTCAGGCAGCCAGGAAGCCGCCCAGTGCCCCTTCACTGGCTTTTTGTGTGCTGTACAGTTTGCTGCTGCGTTGGACTTCAGATTTGTGTGAATGCTCATTTGAAAGCTCTGGGTATGTTGTGTTTTCAAAGACTAGCCTTGGCCTGGTGGTGGAACTGTTGAATGGTCTTTGGTGTGCTTTGAGTTGGCAGAAAGCAGGCCAGCTATATCTGCTATTCTAAGCCAAGCTCCCGGTCTGCATGGGCACTGCGCCAGCCGCGGCTGGGTAAATGAGCGAGGTTGTGTGACAATACAACGACCTAGCGTTCGACGGCAGCTGCAAGCCCCGGATGCTCATCTCAAAACACTGTCAAACTTTCTAGTTGGCTACATGTAAAGGATACAAAATCTCCTCTTAGGGACCACTTTTGTAAATATGTTTTGCCCCCGGAGAATGTCATTTGTAGGGGGCGTATCTAGTGCGGCACGCTTTTGCCATTTCTCAACACTTGGGCCGTCTTCTTGAGAGCAAAGTCAACATCATGATTGGGCGTTAAGTTTGTTAACATAGTGTGAGCTCCGCCAGGCAAAACTGCCACCCCAACTCAAGTGAACCGAGGTTCCGTGATGCTCTCGTGGACGTTCTACAAACGGGTGCCAACACAAAAAAAAAACATTGGATACTTTGCTTAATCGCCCGATGGCTTGTTTGCTGGCAGTCACTCGGTTGCTTCGCGCTCAGCCGTGCAGTCACCTGCGAGACAGCACATCGGCTTGCGAGCATGTTTATGCCTATGGGCCTATGGGCGAAAACCACATAGCAGGTGCAGTCGCACTGATTCAGGATCATAACAGAACATCGCCACTTTCTCAGAGGCTGCGCTGCCTTGTTGAACATGACCAGTTCTTTTTCTGAATTTCATTGATGAGTCATAAGCACCAATCTCTCCCTTTGATGGAAAATGGGAGGGGTGTGCTTGCCACCGCATCAATAACAGTGTGGCTGGGCGCCCCTGTCAAACACACTTCCAGCGCATTTATGCAGGTGTTTTACTTGGAACTCGGGACATGTTGGACATCGTACCACCATGTCAATGTGTCTTCAATGTCTTCATTTGGCATAGCTTCCTGGTGTTTCTTGCGGCCATGGTAGATGATACATCCGACCGCAGAGTTTCCTGGGTGGCCGTCTGGCCCGTGAAATCGCTTTGCTAGCAGGGTGCTTCCCACCGCACATCATGAGTTGCCCTTGGCTGCAAAACAGGTCCCGGAAATGCACGATCCATGAAGAATTTGCATAGCCCCGAGTGGCAACAACGGTGCCTCGAAATGAGCATCTCAAGCAAGGGATCTTTCCATGCTCGACGATTGAGCTGAAGTAATACTACTACACGTTCGGCTTCTGACCCCCGGCATGATGTTGATGCCTATCTTGTGCGGCGAAACAGCAACGCCTGTTTTGACGTGCTGTCTGCGCGACGTGCGCGCGTATCTGTGTGCCTCTGCATCTGTGTGTCTGTGTGTCTTGATATGTGTCTTGTTGCTTCTGTGCGTGCTTGTCCCTTTGCAAGTGGGAGTCACGCAATTTGCGGGCCATACATTCCGCAGGCCACAATTGAGATGTAGGTGAACAAGTAAGCACATTCTCGAGCGTGAGCAGGCCATACAAGTTGTCACGGAAGAGGATAAAAATGCAAGGTGATGGTTCAGGGGCCCTTTTCATGTCACATTTATTTTGCGCATGCGGAGTCTCGGGGTGTCGTCTGGTTTGACAAGTGTTGTGCGCGAGCTGAGTCGGATACTATTTTACTGTCACATTTGAACATCCCGAGGCGGCTATGGTTTGGGGTGTGGCGTCCATCGTTTTACAAGCCATTCGGACAGGACGAGAAGGAGTGGGGCCCAGTGATTTTGCAGGTTGCTTGCGGATGCCAAGCTCTCAGGGGACTCCAGCGGTGTACAATTGTTTGGTGAAACCGCCCTGCAGTGCGCAATCGGTTGACGCTTGAACATGCTTCGTGTGGTGCAAACACGCCTCCGCGTGGCAGGTCTGCTGAGGTCTGCACAGGTCCTTGGCAAACGGACAGCAGCAACCATTGGGCAATTTCCAGGGCTGGTTTGCTGATCGAACACTGCATTTTTCAAAAACACCTCTCTCTCGCACATTCCTGCTGTTTAGTGTTGCGGACCCTTCAAACCCTCCCCCGATTCTTCGTGCTTCCCACACGGAGCCTAACCACTGACTCAGTCCTCCCTTCCTAGCATTTAGTCATTTATTGCCCCTTCCGAGGAGGTGCTCTTGAAAAGGCGTTTATTGCAAACTGTGTTTGCCTTTCATCAGAGTGCGCCCGTCAAAGTCGTTGGCAAGGTAGGTCCCTATCCACCTACTCCGGGGTCTGGGGCGCCAGGCGCAGCAAGAAGTTGCCGCTGGCACCTTCCTGAAAGCTGTTGCCCTGCCCAGAGCTCTCGCACCACAGCGAGCCCCGGATGCAGCCGTCCTCGGGCTACGGGGCTGTGACAGGGCTCACATGGAGTTGAACAGCAGGATGATTCTGTGTAAGCTCCTGAGATAGAAGGCATAGAACTGTGGAACTGAAGTCTATGAAATTTGGGAACTAGTTGGCCTCTTCACACATGGCTATTTTTCATTTGAAATTCACGAATTTTCGGGGCTATACAGAGCTGGCGAGCGGGAATGTGAGTTGAGCTGGAGGGCAAACGCACTCTCGGCGAGACTCGCAACGGCTCACGCGCCTCCAGGCAGCCCTCATAGATGTTCACCGTGTCGCCCTGCCGCTCCTGTGCCCAAAACATAAGGCGCGTCAAACAGCGAGGGTTGGAGATTCAAAGTTCAAAGGTGAACATAGTCACGCCTTCGTCCAAGTCTGTGTGGTTGCAGGGAAAACGTGAAGCCTCGCCGATCAACTTGCTGCACATCAGGACCTCGTTGTGTGGATGTCTGCCGACATTTCTCGGCGTGTCGCACACCTACTGGGATAGGGTCGTACTTATAACTTGAGTTATAAGTTACTACAAGTGGACTTATAACGTGGGACAAGTGGACTTATAAGTTTGCTAAGTCCGAGGATAGTTATAAGTTACTTGTCTATGTTTAACTTAGATAGGCCCACTTATAAGTTCGAGCTAAGTTCCGGGTGCCGGGACTTAGAATGAACTTAGCTGGGACTTAGCTTTTTAGCACCATTTGAGGAAAACAGCCTTCGGTCATTCAGCGCTTGCGAAGCAATGTCCCAAACGCGTCTACCTCGCTGAGTCTACGTGTCTGCCTGCGTGCGAAAAAGCACGCGTGCGCTACCCCTGACATGTTGCGGACCACATCGCTGAACGAGAGAGAAAGCCTGACACCGGACTACGCGCGCGCGCATCATTTTTCGAGACGTACGGTCGCTCCCGGCTAGACCGCGCAGGGCGGAACACGGCGTAGCGGCGGCGGGGCCGCTTCCATGTTTGGAAAACACATCGCGGCAGGACCGCGCAGCGACCATCGCGGCAGGACCGCGCAGTGAGCCATCGCGGCAGGACCGCGCAGCGAGCCATCGCGGCAGGACCGCGCAGCGACCATCGCGGCAGGACCGCGCAGCGACCATCGCGGCAGGACCGCGCAACGACCATCGCGGCAGGACCGCGCAGCGACCATCGCGGCAGGACCGCGCAGTGAGCCATCGCGGCAGGACCGCGCAGTGAGCCATCGCGCATGCAGTTTACGCTGTTTGTTCGCGCTGCTTCGCACGCTTGGCTCGATGGAGCCGGAGCATTTTTTGCACTGATTGACTCGGTTTAATTTTGTTGTCCAATAATCGTTTCTATAGCGGTGTCTCCGCTGGCGGCCGGTCCGCCTTCATATAGTCGCATGGGGTGGTTTCTCCGCCGGCGGCCGGTCCGCCCATTTTGCTTTTCTCGTTTGATGATATATCATTGTAGCGGTGGTTCCGCTGGCGGCCGGTCCGCCAAGCTTTTTTTGCCACGTTCATTTTCATTTCGAGATGGCACTTGAAGCGGTTGTCCGCTGGCGGCTGGTCCGCCCAGGAATTGTTCGGCGTGATTTTTATTTCGAGATGGCACTTGAAGCGGTGGTCTGATGGCACCTTGCGATTTTTTGCATGTTTGGATTGTGAGTGCGCGGATGAAAGGCTGCAAGACTCAATCAAGGCTCCAGAATCCAGACTGCTGACTGCAAACTCCACACTCCAGACTGCAGACTCCAGACTGCAGACTCCAAACTGCAGACTCCAGACTGCAAACTCCAGACTCCAGACTGCAAACTCCAGACTGCAGACTCCAGACTGCAGACTCCAGACTGCAGAGTCCAGACTGCCAACTCCAGAATCCAGACTGCAGACTCGAGATTCCAGATTCCAGACACAATGACTCCTGGCTCCAGGATCCTGATCATTTTGTGGTGGAATTCGGCCACGGGGCCAAGTTAAGTTATGTTAAGTCGTGGTGACGCAACTGGGCCTCACGGGGAAAGTTTGGCAGTTAAGTTGATTGAGTTACAATAGGGACTCCACGGCTCCACACGACCCGCCCAGGTTAAGTTAAGTTAAGTTTTGTTAAGTTCGAAAAAACTGCACCGGCCTTTCCGGGCTTTGGGGCGGGGCTGTCTGGATGCTGGATTCTGGGGTCTGGACTGTGAATTCTGGAGTCAGGAGTCTGGATTCTGGACTGCAGTCTGGAGTCTGCAGCCTGGAGTCTGCAGTCTGGAGTCTGGAGTCTGCAGTCTGAAGTCTGGAGTCTGGAGTCTGCAGTCTGTCTGTGGAGTTTGCATTCTGGAGCCTGGAGTCTGCAGTCTTGATTCTGGAGTTGGCAGTCTGGAGTCTGGAGTCTGCGTCGGGAGTCTGGAGTTTGCAGTCTGGAGTCTGGAGTCTGCAGTCTGCAGTCTGGAGTCTGCAGTCTGGAGTCTGCAGTTTGGAGTCTGGAGTTTGC